GTTGATGGAGTCTCTGGTTTATGTGGCCCTTTTGTCTCTTGAGCTAATATTTTCCTTGTGTCTTTGGTGTTTTTCATTCTCCTTTGCTCCAAGTGGGTTGGGACAAATTCATGTATCTTAGATGGCCACTCACAAGCTTTTAAGACCCCAGATGCCACTTAACAAAGTGGGAGGCAGAACAGTTTCTTAATAAACTTTATCATGACAGTTGACCTAGATGTCCCCCAAAACGATGGTCCCCAGACCCCAGCCCCGGCTGCTCTGTCCCTTGAAGTGTTTGGTTGTGTTCAGGAACCTTCTTAGCTTCTGATTTAATCCAGTTTGTAGGATTCTTATAACATCATGAATTGGTCATTGGAAAATACTGGTTCATTGAGTTAGGCAGATCTTCCAAATGTTGGCCCATTTCATTATATGGTATCAAAAAATCACGCTCACTAGTATTACCTCTAAACTTCTTAAGTATGGAGCAGCTATCAGTGTCATCTTGGGAGATACAAGTTTTCCAAAGTTCTCATTTTTGTTTGAAAGTTTGATTTTATCATTGACAACAAATACTGTCAATTATTTTCCTTGAAATGACAGCCTCACTTCATTCATTTCCAAAAATCTGCAAAAAGTCCAAGTCTAAATAACCGGAGTTTGTCTGCCAGTCACGCCTTCAAGTGAAAAACTATTTCATGAGAAAAGTGGCTAGCTCAATTCCAGCAATTACTTAAGTGCTTTTCCTCAAGACAGCCAATCATAATTTAGTAGTAGCAGAACTTTATGCATACTTACCATTTTATCCCACAGACTACTAGAAAAGATGTGTAGTCAAGGGTGGTTGTTGTATGCAATCAAGTCAATTCCAACTCCTAGCAGCCCTATAGGCAGAGTAGAACTCCCCATAAGGTTGCCTAGGCCGTAATATTTACAGGAAGGAAAACTTCTGGTGCATTGGTTAAAGTGCTTGGCTGTTAACCTAAAGGTCAGAGGTTCAAACCCATCGGCCACTCTGTGGGAGAAAGATGTGGCAGTCTTCTTCCATAAAGACTACAGCCTTGGAAACCTTATGGAACAGTTCTACTCTGTCCTGTAGGATAGCAATGAGTTGGAACTGACTCGAGAGCAACGGGATTTAATCTTTACAGGAATAGAACACCAGGTCTTCTCTCCCATGCAGCAGCCTCCGGTTAGCAGCTGAGCACTTAACCATTGTGCCACTAGGGCTACCTGTAGTCAAAGGTAAAGATTTAATGAAGTGAATAATTTGTACGCCTTATCAA